AGTCAATATATGGGCCCAGAATATTATTAAATGAATCCATTCTATCTGAAAGATTCTTGAATCATCGAAAAAGAGCTTAGAAAATGCCTTCCACACGCCTTTCTCATCCATGCAAGGTCCGCGCTCTTGTCGTTAATTCGTAAATCACGAGTTGGAAAACAACTACCAAACTTCCTACGACACAATAAAGCACTTAGCTAAGCTAAAAAGAAAGTTGCCTACCATACCTGAAGCTTCTTCACGCCGACATATTTCCTCCTCGGAAGCTCGAATCTTTCGAATGTAGTTCAGAGCTGGTCGGTGTTTGGTGGGGCGGGACGGAAAAAGGTAGCCGCGATGCTGAGTCATCATAAACTTCACGTTAAACACGCGTATTTTCAAAGCTTCTCTTCGAGTGAGTTAAGAAATGATATGATAGAGAACCTTGATGGAATGATACAAATTATCCGAATCTTCAGAAGACGGCTGGAGGCGAGGCAAGGTAAGGCAAAGCAAGTCTGATTTCCTAAGGCATCAATTTCAATTGAATTGCCATACCAATCGACACCTCATTGCCGCCTCTTCCGTTTTCTCAATATCAAGTTTCAACCCGTCCCGTTTTCTTCTACTTCGACGCTCTTTAAATATTATACGCTAGACTTTTGAAACCCAAATACTCGCAGCGGATTCAGCCTCGGAAGTCAAAAGTTCTAGAATTTTAATTTGTCTAATTTCCACTTTTTGTGTTGGTGGTCTGAGTTCACTAAATTTCTTTTCCACTGCAATACAGACTCATTAATCGAGCTCGATCTTTTGGAGATTTCCTGCTGCCATAAGGAACCCAGTTGCCATTCTATCCAAAGAAAGACTTTTGTCGACCAAATCTTCCTCTCAGTAGGTATCTCACCCGTTAATCTACTCGGCTCGAGAAATAATTTGATCACCTAAGGTAGCAACTAATTACTCAGTTTGTTATGCTACAGTCGCAAGCTATATCCAGATCTGTTCGAATCTCCTTCACAACCAAAGTCATTGTACCAAACAACACACCAAAAGACCCAAAGTCTTCTTCTGCAGCTACAAGCGCCAAGCTTATCTAGCAAATTGCAGAAAACCTTTCTCTATGCGAGCGAGGAATCGTATCCTTCGAAAGCCTCCTTCAATAACTACAGTCATCAATCTTTCATACACCTAAGCTCCTTGTTTTTTTTATTAAAAAAAAACTATCACAATTATGTCTCTAACCACGAGAATGAATGGCTACTTCCGTGAGCGGAGCCAGCGTGCTCGAGGACTTCATCTTCTTAAGCCCTCTATTACTCTTCCGCGCAGCGTCTTAGATGGGCCCAGACGAATAATTGACCCAGATTCCGGTCTAGTATCTCAGGAAACAACTTCACGGGAACTCCAAGTCTCGGATTATCATTGGGATTCTCAATTTGAGTAACTTGGCCCCTTCTCTCTCACCACTTTTTTCTCATAAGATGGAATCTGACAGACATTTAGGGAACTTCTCGAAGCAAATTGGGAAGAATCTGACGATGATCAAGAGTTCACTGCTGGAGAAGCAATTGCCGCACAATTTAGACGCAGAAAACCTTGTGTGCCACGTTTAATGCAACTTTCGGTCGATTCGATTGTAAAGAACATTAGCAGTATCACCTATGAAAGCATCAAGAACATGCCTTCAACGCAGCTCGAGTTTCTTTGGCGGGAACTGTCAAAGAGGTTAGTTTTAGTATTCTTTCTTCTTACTCTACTCTTGAATCGAGGATTACTGCAAGGACCTGTACAGTCTTTATTGTGGGGCACAGAATTACAGATCCTTGACAATTATCTTGCATACAAGTCCTGAGTTTAACTGATCTCTTGGGTGTAGATGTGTCAACAGTTTTAATACTTGGAAGGCTTTTTCAAAAGCTCTCGATCGACAAGAAGGTGCCATTTTAAACCAATTTCGATACAGTGGTTCTGTCGCAGAGCCAATTCCGTCCTTATCTGTCTACACGAAGCCGCTCAAATCAGCTACTTTCGACTTTCTTGTACACTTATCTATTACCACTGCTTTCAGTACTTCGAATGTGGTCGAATTATCTACACTTGTTAACTTAGTAGCTCTCGAGATTTCTAATCCAAAGCATGATAATCGTGTAAGAACTGCCGGTAAGCAGTTCGATACGAGCTTCGGAGACAGAGTAATCAAAACCTGGAGCGAAGTGGCAGCAAAGGGAAAGGGATTCAAAGTCTTGAGAATCTTAAAGCTTCGAAATTTCCTGGAAATCACAAATAATTGCTTCCCATACCTAAACGACTTTCCTGCTTTAGCTGTTTTCGACGTCATGGACTGTGATTTCAATGGATTGGCTCAACTCAGCGCTGAGAAACTTGGCTGGGAAGTACATCCTGATGGAGCATTACTCGAAATCTTGCAGTCAGATTGTGTAAAGCATATTATGGCTATGCGCGCAAGTCTTGGACTTCCTGTAAGTCGTTTCTTTCAACCCTTGAACCCCTTTTTCTCTTGAAAGAATCTCGGTAATAGTCTGAGCACGGACCTTTATGTTCTGAATTTCTCTGAACTTGCTCGAGCACGTGCTTTGCATATGCTGTTTCAACAAAACAATTGCTAACAACAATTATCACAGGCCAGACCAATCCGTAGATCCACTGCCAAACCTCTGTGGCATAAAGCCAAAATTACAATGATACCTCGGGCAGATTTACCAACTTTACTTACAGGAGGATCTCCGTCCGCAGCACGAAATAGCGCGTACCTTCACGCCGAAGAGCAAGTAAGAGCAATGGAAAGAACCCCTGCTGGCCGCGCCAAACTCAAGAGAACCGGTCTCTCCCACTTTGAAGCTGTGGATTATATCAGTCGTAAGGAATATCGTGAGCTTGAAACTTGGGAATTCCGTACCCTTACCTCTCTCAATCGAATCAGCGAGCTTCGCAACGACGAAGATTTGCGTGCCGTTGGCCTAAAGATCGGCGAATTTGTTCCTATGGTCTCTGGCGAACTCATATCTTCTATTCCAATTGCTTCTCTTCGTCTCGGTCCAGAGCTACTCTATACACCATCGCGGGCGGATTTGCATCAGCCATTTTACGATGGCGGATTGAGTGATAGATCGCTCAAATACACTAGCAAAAACCTCGGAGCTGGCGCAAAGGGTTACGTCTGTACACGTATCACGATACCTGTTGCTAGGACTAGAACTGGACAACAGGCCGACGAGACGATGGGTGACGACGCTAGTGGCCCAGAATCTCGACCAAGCAAGCGTAGGAAGGTTAGAGGAGATAAGAGGCAACAAATAGGCGATCTCTTGGCGGGAGTTATGGGGGTTATATGAACTCTGGAGCTTTTCTCGAAATTTAGGGTGGAAACTGGCGTATGCTTTCTTCTAGAAGTCCGGGTTCAGGACCTTTCGGGGGATTTTGGCGAATCTTGGTGAATTTCAAAATTTCTTTTCATAGTTGTAGGAGTTCTTTCATTCGCGTAGTTCAGAATACCCAAGTGGATTTTATATCATAGACTCAAACAATAACTATTAATTGCGTAGCATACATCTCGTGTTAATCTACAATATCTAGTGTTGGATAGCATATATGAATTTCCAGATGGGATATATATTTAGGCGTGATGTCCATGCATCTACTGATATACCCAACCAGATGTTTCTAGAGATTTTGTCTAATACAGACCCTACTACAGACTATGTGTAGATACCAGAGTTTGATTGTAAACTTATCTCATTACACGTAGAATCCTCTGACACTTCAATATCTGTGTCCAACCTTGGCATGAAAAACATGTCTTCGGCTGATGCTACAGGGTAGTAGTTAATCATGGCCCTTAACTTGAGTAAATGAACATTGTTAGCTTTTAAATTTTGTGTAAGAGCTTTGAATATACATACTGCTGAGTCACAATCACAGAATCCTATCCAAACCATAAGGGATTGAAAGTAGATTATGAAGGGTTGACTGCAAATCATGTAACAGATTTTTATAACACATTGGATGATGAGCCTTTGTAGTCTAGATTAAACTAGATGATTGAGTGATTGGCAACCTAGAGGTAATTTACTGGGCCCGGAAAGATCTAGATATCTCTCTATTTCTTATTTCAGATCTGATGATGGATGATCTTGTGTGAACTATAAATCTTTTTGCTTTAATTCAATTCAGACTTATACGCACAGAAGGGAAACAGAGAGGCATACGGAATGAATTGATCATAATCATTTTATTCTATCTATCCAAATAGATATCAATCACAATACCAAATCGATTGAATCCCTTTATTAGTGAAAGAATGTTTAACTTTCAAACATTCCATCGCACTGAATCAAGATATGATTCCCTATCGCCGGGTAAGTCGAAGAATAAGGCATGGGAGAGGGCGAAGCATTGCAATCATCATTAACGTGATATATGTTTCTTTTATATTCGATCTTCATGAGTTGATTAGTACTACTGACGGTATTGGCCCCAGGATGAACAGCCAACTTTTTGCTGACATAGTAGCCTTGCCATGCATATATCAAGAACAGCCATACTAAGAAAATCGGAGTTCACAAGGAAATCGTGGCACACTTGAAATTTATGAGGCTACAATGACATACCGATGCATAGGCAAGGCTCTTTTTGTGGCATGATTACACCAGTAAAACGCCTTCTAGATAAAGTAATACAACTCAGACAGAAATATACACCGAGGGGTAAGCTGAAGCCCGCTAGTTTAAATCTCATAAGGTCCATCGCTTTTATATCCTTCGAGACATTTGCTTGATAATCGCCCAGTTCTACACCTTTCAGATAGTAAAGTTACAGCATTTAATCACATCGGATTCAGCCAGGGAATTTGTTTTCGGATCATATCTTCAGCATGCGGAAGCCTGCAAGGTGCGTGTATAAAGCAATAGGCCACAGAAGTTATTATTCATAAGTGTCGCGCACTACTTTCACGCCAGTTTATCAGAGCCTCAATGTCATTTCAATACAGCAAAGAAACCATGGATCCACAAAAATTACAACAAAAGCTCATGTGACCCAATTTATCGGTTCCAGATGATCTGAGAGAGATATGCAGATCAAGAAGAGAGTCTACAGAGACTCTGAGTAGGGAAAATGCAAGCAAACTTATGCGAAGATCAAAGACACCGGACAATCTCGAAGCCGCCCATTCAATGAGGAATAATAAGGCTATCTGTCAAAATCCGAGCGAACAGCCACTTGATGGTAAACCAACTGATACTAAGACGACTGATTCATCTCGTGAAGCGATAGCTGAGAATCAAATCTTTGAAGAATCGACTTATTATCATACGTCTGTTATCCAAACATTCAAAAATACACTTTCATATCTTCTTCGCCCAAGAGTCCGTGAAGGCGATCAGAGGATTAATTGGACTTGTGTGAGTAATCTACTGCTTGAAGTATAGAAGTATCTTAACTTGAATTATTAGGAATGTGGCGAGCAACTCTATGCGGATTTCAAAGCTAAATCGCCAGAAGCCCTGCGAGACATACATGCGATACTGCATAGCGTCCCAAGCGCAGCATTATTGGAGGTTCGAGTCGTTCGGACTGGAGCAGGTCGACAATTTCATATCAGAGCATTCTCTGACATTCCGAATTCAGAGGCCTCATCTAGTGACCATCATGCTTACTCAGTCACGAATACCTCTCCATCCACATCGCAAGCGTTGACAACATTAACGCCAAAATCACCAGCATTCGTCTCTACGATACCAACTTCTTCGTCATTGATCTTATCAACACCAACATCTTCCGTATTGACCTTATCAACTTTGACAGAAGTAACCTTTCTGGAACTCTGTGTAAACGTTAGTGAGAATCTCAAAAGACTTGGCGAGATTAATCTCGTTGGTGCAAAACTTGACGAGCATATGTTCGAACGGATCCGTGAAAAATACTTTGAGTTGCGCGGCGCGCGATCCAAACTTTGGCTTCTCAAACCAGCATCTGTATATTTCGTACGGGTATGTGCTTAAACATTATCCCATTGCAACTGCTAACCACAAATACTAGTTTTCTGTAGAGCAACGTCATCGCGTCGGTATTTTACAAACACCACTTTCTTTACCACCCAAAACAGAGGTAGACGATGACAGCTGGATATACCATCCATGTCCACTTGATGAAGGAGAGCTTCCTGTTCCGGATAATGTTATCTTACACTATCTGAAATGCACCAGTCCTACAGGAATTCTTCTTTGGATGAGAAGAGTCCCACGAAAATGCAAAACAAGTATACTTGATAACGGAGCTGCACCAGTTGCTTTGGGATGGGGAATCCATATTGATGAAGGCCCGAATTACAAAGTTATCTTCTTTATAAACTTTGTGGCGCTAGTGATAAGCGGGATTATAGCTTTGACATGGTCACTTGCCAAAGAAGATTTTCAAGGTGCTTTCGGCTTCGCGAGTTGGTTTATAGCTTCCGTGAACGCACTTCTGCTGACGCTTATGTATTGGTTAAACGAGTAAATCTCATAGGCTCTACATTTTCAATGGCATGGTTGTTGTATTTGTAGTGGAGAATTAGATTATGTTAATATGATATTCTATTATCAAGGTTCAAGAGCATGATAGCCAACAGGTAAAGTCCGGATGATTGGCCTCCAACATTAAGTGTGAGGTCCCATGCTATAGAAGGATGAACAGGCGATATATATACAATAAGGTATAAACATGACCTACCTAACTTAAATTCCTGTAAATTAACGGGTCCATGAATGAACTATCCAGCTATGGAGCATATCACAATGAGCATACATAAGCTAGCCCGCTTGTTGAGTTGTACAAACGTTTTATAAACGTTGAAAGGTTTGATGTTTAGACACACGGCTTTTATACGTTACTTTAGCTACAGGAATGCTATGTGTATCAGCTATAACTATTTGCGATGTTCACAGATTCAGTACCTCTTGAAACAATAGACCACCCCTCAATTTCAGAACTTGCGCTGTATCCGCAAAACAAACAGTAGAAGCACCGGAAGCAATGATGGACACTTTGTCTTCTCCTATAACTTCATGTGATATTCCGCCAACTGACCATTTCTAACATTGCCAGCATCATCAAACAACGAGGTTTCGGGAAGTTCACGTGTTATCATATTATCCAAAAGCTCCTCAAACACTTCCCCGACAATCTCACGTTGGAGTAACCCCAAATGCTCCATTTGTTCTTGATACTTTCCAATCGAGAGGAGATCCCCGATCAATCGACGCAAACCCGATCCAGCGCAGGTAGCCTTGTAAATGGCCTCGATTTGGTGCGGCATCATGAATGAAAAGTCTCGTAGATGTATTAAATGATCCATTGCTGCATTGAAAGCAACGGGAAATTCCCAACACTCACAAAGTAGACACAAGTGCACAACGACAATTGCCCAGGTCTCATTGAATAAGGGTTTGTGCTCCCTCTTAGCCTCACTCAATATCGTATCCATCTGGTCTTCTTGCAACCATCGCAGGAACAACTGTAAAGGAATTTGAAAACAATCATCGAGTACATAAGGTTCATCATGGGTACAGTGCAAGCCCAAGTCATTGAAAAACGTGTTTTTAGTACTCACACGTTTGTTCTCGACGTGATATATTATTGGGAGTCGCTTGCCTCGAAATTTGACATAGAATGGAGACCAATTCCTGGCGAAGGGGGAACTGTAGATGAGATTGTGTAAGCATGAATGTAACAGGGAAGTAGAAATCTCATATACTTTAGTAAATCATTGAAAGGATGACTTGATTCCATTGTGCCTTGAACAATCCAGCAATGGGAAGGAGATATCTGTGTTATTGGATTTATAATCTCTTGGGTTCAAAAAGTGATTTGATACGAGAACGGGTTCTTAGCAGAGATGCTGAAAGTATTTGAACAGCAGAAAACACAAGTACTGCACTTTTCTCGGCACGTCTCTCGTGGTACCTCTCTTTTGATTATTTTCATTACATTGTCGAAAGGAAAGGGGGACCTTTGAATAGTGCATTCAATATCAAGGTGGTTACTGCCTTCGAATTCCATAGGTAAGTTGAGTGATCCTACGGAATTCGAGTGAGAAAGGAGGCCGGCATAACATTTCGTTACTGTTCTGACATTGAGCATACAAGTAAGATGAATTCGAATCTTATTAAAGTTTGGTTAACAAGAATACCGAGAGTTCGAGAATGTTTCCCAATCATTACATCTTCTTGGGGTAAGAATTTGGCAGGTGGAGTGGATTAGATTAGGTAGGCTCGCGACTGACAGAAAAAACCGAACACCAATCCTGCAAAATAAACGAAAATTTGAAAATGATTCTTTTTCACAACTTAGTAATAATTTAATTTTATGTTTTAAATCTTTTTGAATTAATTTATAGAGATTATAAATTAATAAATAAGTATTATTAAAGATTTGAAAAGATTATATTGAGTTGTTGTTTACATATCAAATTTTGATTGAGGTGAAGATTTTTGATGTTCGGTTTTTTCTGTCGGTCGCGAGGTAGGGTAGCTCGGTAGGTACTTCACGAATTCGTCAATCCTTATCAGCTTATCTTAGCGCATAACCTTAATCGCGAAAAGGGGACTGACTGATCGCGTCACACGCGTAGGATGTTTAAATTGATTTTCGGTTCAAGGCTTATTATAAGTTACTTCCAATAAAATATTGGAAATTGCGAATACATACACGCACCTCATTATGCCACATTCTGTTTCCCCCGAAGAACCCTCGATACAATCACAAGACAATATGTCCGATAACGAAGAGATCCGGGACGACGCACAAATGAGTCAAGAAGCAGAGGCTGCGTCTGCCGACACGCAGGTTGCTGAGTTGAATGATGACGAAGATATTACAATGGCAGATGCTGGAGTTCAAGGCGAGGCGATACCTCAGGCGGCTGCGAAAACCGAGCCCAATTTATTAGAATTGTTTCCAGATACAGAGTCTGACGATGAATTCCCAAGTATAAATGCGAAAGAGGAAAAGCTGTCGAGCTCACCTGAAGCGCCAGCTTCCCCAGTGTAAGTATTGAAAGCCATGTACCAGGCACAGAAGCTAAGTAGATATCAAGAAATATAGGTCCTGCATCGCGAGCATCAGATCCAGAAGTTATGCGATCCTTTTATCAGAGACTTTTCCCTTGGCGCCACTTATTTCAATGGCTTAATCATTCTCCGACGCCCTCAACCGACTTTGGACATCGTGAATTTGCCTTCACCCTTCAAAACGATGCATACTTGCGATACCAAGCATTCCCAACCTCCGATCTGTAAGTGATGGTGTATCATTTAGGCCCACTTACGCTAATAAACTTCAGTCTACGTAAGGATGTCCTTCGTCTCATGCCATCCAGATTCGAAATTGGTCCAGTTTATAGTACAAATCCCAGGGATCGCAAAACACTTCGCAAGTCTTCCGCCTTTCGACCAATAGCCAAGGAGTTATGCTTTGATATCGATTTGACGGATTACGACGAGATCAGAACGTGCTGTGACAAAGCAAATATCTGCAACAAGTGCTGGCAATTCATTACGATGGCCATCAAAGTGGTTGATGTTGCGCTACGAGATGATTTTGGTTTTAAACATATCATGTGGGTATACTCTGGAAGGAGAGGAGCTCACGCTTGGGTATGCGACAAGAAAGCTAGGCAAATGGACGACCAGAAGAGAAGGGCTATTGCCGGATATCTAGAAGTCATTCGAGGTGGATCGCAAACTGCGAAAAAGGTTAATGTGAAAAGACCATTGCACCCGCATGTATTGTATGTACATGTGCACTTTAATTGTTCCTTTTACTAATCTGAAGTAGACGAAGTCTTGATATACTCAAAAGTCACTTCCAAGACGACATCCTTCACGATCAAGATCCATGGGAGGAAGACGATAAAATCGACAAGTTATTACAGCTTCTACCTGACAGAACACTAAATGAAAGTTTACGGAAAAAATGGAGCTCTGCTCCTGGACGGTCATCAACGTCAAAATGGGCCGATATTGATGCATTGGCAAAATCCACCAAGGGTTTGGACCCAAGAGCCTTACTAGAAGCCAAGCAAGATATAGTTCTCGAATACACGTACCCTCGACTCGATATCGAAGTCAGCAAACACCTCAACCATTTACTCAAAAGTCCTTTTGTCGTACACCCAGGCACAGGAAGAGTATGTGTTCCTATAGATACTAGACATCTAGTGGACTTTGATCCTCTCGCTGTACCAACTGTGACCGAACTTCTTGGCGAGATCGATCAGTGGACTCCACCTGAAGATGGGGATACGGATGGAAAAAGCATACAAGATTGGGAGAAAACGAGCCTGAAGCCATACGTAGACTACTTCAGATCATTTGTCGCTGCTCTGATGAAAGACGAAAGCGATGTCAAAATCAAAAGGGAGCGAGAGACAGATGCGATGGCATTCTAAATTTGTGGAATGTCATCCCAATCTTTGGCGTCATAGGTAGGTAGTGCTTTTGGTATGGATATACTTGGTATATGGATAATAAATGAGAAATGAATATTAATCCAAATAATATGATGCTAAAGTAGAAAGATCTCTATTACATTGCAACTTCTCATCATATTACTTGTGATACACTTAGCTATGAGATTATTCTACAACTGCTTATGGGTTTTGCTGCGTCAAGAGCAACACTTGCCTTGGTCTGAGCCTTTCAGGAAAATCAATTGCCCTTCGATGTCATTGATTGCTTCATAAAATAAACCTACTTGTGTCTAATCTGTACGTGTATTGAGTGAATCCGTACTCAGGTAGGTCCACCGTACATACATCAAGTATAAAACAGAGGGTCAAATTGTACGGTTCTTGACAAGTGCTTCTTGATGGGCGAATTCACTGTTCTATATATGACCTCGGAATGTATCGAATTCGAATATTCTCAACCGTTGATTACCTACCTATTGCTAGATACTACCTAGATGTTATTGTTGTAAGGTGAATGTATAATACCAGCCTGTGTACCGTACGTGTTACTTATTATTAACCCCTCCTCGAGCCCTCCTCTCTTCATTAGTCCTAATCTTAAAAACATTACATCACGTGTGCCGTACCAAAATTACTTGGTAGCCGTTCCATTCTAGCCCTCCCGCCTGCCCGCCTGCCGAAAGCTTTTAGGAGCCACACTAAACCTTTAAAGTTTCTCTGATCTTCCTTTCAATCCAAACCACCTCACCTCACCTCTTACCTCACCTCAACTCAACCCAAATCAGCCATTGAAGAATTCGAAATAAACACACAACCACCCACAACTCACAACCCACCAACTACCATACCATAACAACGACCGTCACAGAACTTCAGATCTCTACCTAAACCAGATCTTCGACTACAATACTCAATTCAATTCATGCGCACAATCCTGCAGACAAGAAAAAGCATAAATACATACACTCAATAACCCCACTACAAATACATCACAAACAATCAACAATTTCCTCGAGATCAACAACCACCCCTCAACTCGATAATAACTCGTATATTCTCATCCTTCAAGATCAACATCATTGCGGCCTTCCTTTCCACCGGCCTTCTCTAGTGTTATACTATTTTATGCTGAACTAATTGCATACGATCCAAGACGAATTCCAATAGAACGCGACCTTACTTTCGCGCCCCAACACCACATCTCATACATTTATTCTAAAGATACCCTCTTCCAACAAAAACTACATATACAATGGCTGATGAGCTGGCAAACAAGCTAGCGGCTACTAAGATCAAGTATGATCGTCACTCCTTGGATATCTTTAATTGTCACTGATATGAGAATAGTGATAATGCTTCCTCGGACAACTGGAAAGCTGGTCTTAACATCCCAGTAAAAGACACGAGGCAACAGACAGAGGTACTCAAACATATTGTTCTCTACTCGATGTTTCGTTAAAGTCGCTAACATATTTATGTAGGATGTTACCGCCACCAAGGGTCTCGAATTCGAAGATTTCTCCATCAAGCGAGAGCTGTTAATGGGCATTTTCGAAATGGGTTACGAGAAGCCATCCCCAATTCAAGAAGAGGCAATCCCCGTGGCCCTTACAGGTCGAGACATACTGGCTAGAGCGAAGAATGGTACCGGTAAAACTGCCGCCTTCGTCATCCCTGCACTCGAACGTATTAACCCCAAAAACACCAAAGTACAATGTCTCATCCTGGTACCCACTCGGGAACTAGCTCTTCAAACTTCACAAGTCTGCAAAACTCTTGGTCAGCATCTCGGCATCAACGTTATGGTTACTACTGGTGGTACTACCTTACGAGATGATATCCTGCGTCTCCAAGAGCCTGTTCACATTATCGTCGGTACACCTGGTAGAATCCTCGATCTAGCTGGAAAGAATGTAGCCGACCTCAGTGAGTGCAATATGTTTGTCATGGATGAAGCTGATAAACTACTCTCACCTGAATTTACTATCGTCATCGAACAATTACTTCAATTCCATCCAAAGGACCGACAAATCATGCTCTTTAGTGCAACTTTCCCAATGACGGTCAAAGACTTTTCGGATAAGAACATGGTCGACCCCTACGAAATCAATCTTATGGACGAGCTCACTCTGCGCGGTATTACTCAGTTTTATGCATTTGTCGAAGAGAAAGAGAAAGTGCATTGTCTCAATACTTTGTTCTCAAAATTACAAATCAACCAGTCGATCATCTTTTGCAACTCTACAAATCGAGTCGAACTTCTTGCCAAGAAGATTACCGAATTAGGCTATTCATGTTTCTACAGTCATGCTCGTATGATTCAAGCCAACAGAAACCGCGTTTTCCACGACTTTCGAAATGGTGTTTGCCGCAACCTTGTTTGCTCCGATTTACTCACTCGTGGTATTGACATTCAAGCTGTGAATGTCGTTATCAACTTCGATTTCCCTAAGAACGCTGAAACTTATCTTCATCGTATCGGTAGATCTGGCCGATTTGGACATCTCGGTCTAGCAATCAACCTCATCAGTTGGGAGGATCGCTTCAACTTGTATAACATCGAGCGTGAACTTGGGACAGAGATTGCTCCAATTCCACAAAGTATCCCGAGGAACCTTTATGTTTACGAGACTCCCGAAAACATCCCCCGTCCAGTATCCAACTTCCAAACCAACACCCGTCAGGCATCAGGACCAGGACGTGATCAGCAACAACCCACACAGCACTCTGGGAATCAGAGAACTGGTGGTCAATATAATAATTATAATAATGGACGCCAGAGTGGCCCAGGCCAAAACCAGAGTCAAGGTCAAGGACAAGGGCAGGTACAAGGACAAGGACCGAGACAAAACCAAGGTCAGCGTCAAAACTATTCCAGGGGCCGAGGCGGATTTGGTGGTGGTAGAGGAAGCGGTCAAGGACCACGACAGAACGGTTACGACAACTCAAGAGGAGGTCGAGGCCAGGGTCCTCCACCAGCTCAATAGGCTTATGTTCCAACCGTATTACACGTGATGATGATGTTTGGAGTTTTGTACATATAACCTTCTATTCCCTTTGCGATAGACTCGATTTTACGACGGACATGGCTGCGGGATTTTTTTGCTCTCGACGTTGAGCTGTTTCTGGATGCATCCCACTACTCGACTTGACGTTTGATTCGGCTCATGAATTTCTTCAGCTGTCGCTGAGTTTTCGTGTTTGTATCATACGACTCTCGTTTTTCAATTTTCTCTCTTTCATTTTTTCGACAGATAACTACTTTGGGTCGCATGAGTAGTAGCGGATAGCAAAAGTTTCAGCGAATTCGCTCTGGTATGACGGCATGGCGTAATGGGAGGGCGTTCAATGAAGGTACTCGCAGGAGAAACTTTTCTAGTCTAGACCGGTTCTGCTGTAAAGGCATTTCTGGAATGGGCGATGGGTAAATCTATTTTCTTCATCTTATGGGCTCATGGTAATGAGCATTTGATGAATGGGTGGTGACGGGTGTGCCAACGGGTGGACGATTTGTTTGTTGGGTTAATGTTAGTAAAGATGATTCAATCAACAATGACTCATGGCTGGCATTGATGAGAAGCGGAGAGCAGGAGATCGCGCTGCTGAGAGTGCTTTACAATGGCAATGATGGTCACTTCTCACACTCTCGAAGTGGGGAGCACGACATCTTGGGATGAGGGGTGTTCACAGAAAAATAACAAAAAAACATTAGGGAGGAACCTACGATATTGATGTTAGTTTGGATCGAGCATGGACTTGATAGCTTTCATCATCTTCAGACAATACTATTCTTTCTCTCTACTTCCATCTCGATGAGTATGATGATGATGTTGATTTACATGTGATACTGTAGTACCGCATTGAACTTGGATATATATGACGGTTTGAAACATCGAAGTTTATATGCAACAGAGCCCCTTACATGATGTTACGCACATATGCATGCCGGTCGGTCGGTTTGTCATGTACATGGAAAGTGGCGGAGAGTATGAAATTCCAATTTCTAGTTTCAGTATCTGATATACACAGGGATTAAACGGAAGCTGCAACCTCTGATGTACAAAGTGGATCCGAGCTGAGGTAACCATAGCTAGCACGGCAGTGAGGCAATGAGCACACGTACATGTACTTATTCTTCCGTGTCGGTCAATTCGCTGATGAGTGATGTTACAATACATGACCTTCCCACTCCATGGATCAGGAATTTTGGAGGGCCATCATAACAGAGGGTCGCAAAATGTTACCTCGGGGTTCTGGCCAAATACTCGTGGCTGAGCTGCTAGGTGATACGAAATGACTCCCTTGGATTTGATAGAACGGATGAGCGCAAGGGAACAAATAGAACGAAAAGGTACCACGAGACACCAAGAAGAACTAAGGGCATGAAGTGCGCATGGCGATAAGGGAAATAAATGAATGGAAGGGCTAGAAGGGAATAAGGAGAATTCATTTTTCGTCTGATGTCTCACTTTTCGAGAAACTTCTTCTTGATGTTCTTGAACTTTTTGAATACCTAATATTGATGTGTATTCTTGTTTTCGATGGTACAACGTACGTGGTTAGCTAAATGCAAATTCATCTATCGAGGAAATGAGGGAATGATCGATATCAATATGTGGTCTCAGATGTGTCTATTCTTGTATAGAAGTACTCGGTGTGTTTAGATTATACTCGTATATTGATGGGATGTAGATTAAGAGGATGCTTGTGTACGAATAGTAACTAAATAAATGACGCGCCGCTGGTCTTCCGGTGGCCACTGCCGTGGAGAGACTGACGGCGCGAGATGCGAAATGCAATTTATATCTTCAAATTTTGAGCGTAGCGAGCTATAGGGGTTTGAGAGTTTCCCCCTCAATGTTGCACCTTCGCATATTGAACATGATTTGAGCGGCCAAGGATGCTCAAAACGGTAACATAGAATACTTTCTCCATCCCGCCTTCCACTTGATTGGATTGTAGATCCCCGCATGCTTCTGATAAATAGACTTCGTGACATTGTAATCTTATATGCACGCAGAACAACGACTCTTCTTAGATATCTTGAACCAAAGGCCATCCGAGCGGACAGTAACCAGTAGGGAAAGAGGATTTCCTATGTCAGCCGGACCGCTCCGACATAACGACCGAGAAATGATATTGTGGCTTGAATGATGATATATTCTAGAGGAGATCGTGAAGAGGGATTGGTCGGGGAATGTGAAGGGATTATATGTGATACTCGGTTTTTCGAAGCGGTGAGAAGGTACCAAAGATGATGGACGTGACTACTCGTGAGGAGTAGGCGGGCTTGGTGGGTAGGTAATGGTGATTAGGTAGTCGACGATGATGATTTATATTACCCCTCCTTTTATTTCTACTCTTCCACGATATTGCTTATTTTGTATTTTCTTTTGTGTCATGATGATCAAGCAAGTGAGCAAGCAAGTAAACACCAAGACAAGAGAGTTTTCTGACCACCCTTTACCTTTTGATATGAGTGTCTTCTTTCTTATGGATTAGAACTATTTATAAATATAAATAAATCAATCGAAGCATTCCTTGAGAAGTTTGCTGTCTATGTTCTTAAGTGATCACTCACTCACTCACTCACTCAGCCACCTACTCACTCGAAACATTCATCACCCATTGTTTTATAGAAATATACGAATATATGAACACACTTCACACTTCATACTTCACTTACTTTACTTGTTCCTGGTTCATATTGTATGATTTAATAAGGATGATTATATGATGAATTCGAATATCCATCTCTGGGGAACTCATAATTAACCTTTGAATTGCCTTGATGCTTTTAGCGCCCTCCAACCCCCCCGCCAAAACTTGTCGTTCGATCTAACAAAGTTCATTTGGGTATCTGTGGGTTCCTTCGTTCCAGAATCTAAATTTAATTCAATTCAATTTCAATTTCAATTTCAATTCCAATTCCAATTCCAATTCTATTCTATTCCATTTTTTTTATAAGAAAAGAAATACCAAAGAATCCTTTTCACTCCGCCGGTTCTCATTATACATATACAACTATCCAGAGCCAAGAGTTAAGAATTGAGAATCAAGAATCACTCAATGACCAAGCACCGGACAATCAATTACCAATCATCAATCAATCAATCAATACCAATCCCCCATACCAAAAATCTACTACGAATAACCTCGCTCTGCTCTCTCGCTTTTGCTTCTTCGATTGCGGTTCCTATTGTACACCTTCCACCCTTCTGTTTGGTGTAAACCAAAGCTTCCGAGTACTGGGAGGAGTACATATCAAACATCCAATATCCGACAAATCGCAGAAGAATAAAGAGTGTGAGATTGTGAGACGATCCTAAAAAGAGAAATCGAAATCCACTTTGTCACCAAGGTCCCACAGAAAGAGACGGCAACACTGGGATTAAGAGGATTAAAAGCAGAAAAAAGTCTAAGACATTTCAAAATACCGAGAATTTGGCAACAAACAGGAAGAGAGAGAAAAAGTGTGAGAGGCAAAAAAGTAGAATCGACAAGGACCTATTGATTCACACATCCATTGATCTTCTTCTATTACTATGGCTTTAATTGTAAGATAAATTATTCATTCACACCCTCATACTCTCACACCCTCACACCCTCACACCCTCACATTTTCAATTTCTACAATCGTTTTATGGTCGCAGTCGCAGTCGCAGTCGCATCCGCATCATGTTCACACCCCTTCGCGCCTCTATTCTTTCTTAATGCTGCGCCCGTATTTGCCTCATGGGTGGATGGGTGCACAATACAATTGTTTCCGTGAACGATATGCGACTGGTTCGCAATGATAATTAGCATGTTTGGGGGATTTCGATAAGACAATCATGGGACCTTGTACTGACCTTGTGTTCTCTACCACAGTTATGTCTCGCGCATTATTGCGACACTCATGGTCCGACCCCGGTTATGGTAACAGAAGCACTTCCAGTAGGTTGTACTTCGTGTCCAGAAAAAGAAGAATCCATCCCTCGGAGGCCTAGTACAAGTAAATCGTTCAAATCCTCGGAACCTTCTCTGAATACCAATGCGCATACTTCACACAGAACGAATTCCATTGTTTCCGAGCCAGACGTTGCGGCGAGTCGGCCAGCTCTTCATGTAAACTCAAGTCCTTCGAATGCGTCAAGTACAGCGGGTTCTGCGGGCGAAACACCTCCTCAAAGTCCCAGAGTACCTACTTTGCAAAATGCACAAAACACGACAAACCAATTGCGACGCGATTCGAGCTTTCGCAAAACATATCCAAGTGAAAAGCCAGGTCCATGCGAGAATTGCGCTCTTACTTTACCTAAGAAGACCAAGGAGGATATGCCCACAAGTCCTAAACCTTCGGGAACTGGCAAACTCGATAATGGTCCAATATTACGAACAAGGAAGCCATATGAGCGCATTACAGGTCAGAGTACCCCTCCCAAGTCTGCATCCTCAGATTCAGACGATTCGGAATGCGCAATCCAAAAAGAAGAACGGGGAGAGCAGCACCAGGCTCGGAGACTCCCGGTCAAAAGATCCGACGCATCTCCTACCTATACCACCAGAGAATTCCTTTCGCATAACCACTTCGTTGACTATACATCAACGCATGAACCTCTACAGCCCACTTCTTTCTCTATTATCCGGCAATCTTGTCTTCGTACTCTCTCTTGTGAAACCCTTCCACCGTCCTCAAATCCCACACCTAATTCCACACCCTCCTCCCCCTTTATCTCCAGTTTCTTCTCTCACCTCACATCCTCCACAACTACCTCATCTGGCGGCCCAATCTTCTTTGGCGATCCAATGGCCGGCTACACCACCGCATATATATTTCGCATTCCTGATCCCTCTGCTCGTGGTCGTCGTCGAGTCTATGCTTTAATCGCTCTCTCCACTCAGAAAGAACGCATGGCCATGCGCACCTTTTCCTTCCTCGACGCAGCCTTCCGTGATCTCGCAGATTGGATCGCACGCCTCGCTGATGAAGAACTCGCACGTTCTGAATCAGCACTCCAATCCCCTAGACCTGGCGATGAGAAAAATGGCAATGGGAATAGCAGTGGCCCGTTTGGAGGTGGCGGTACGACAACTACACCTACTTCATCTTTCTTAAGAGGTGGTAATAGAGGACCGGATAGTAGAATGACTGGTGCGAGTTTGAAAGGGAGAGGCTTGGCTGAGCTGGTTGGATTGCCCGATTTTTTTATCGAGCTGCATAGTAGATTTGTGAGATTGTTGGCGGAGATTGAAAGACCGAGATAAAAGTCGACCTCTCGTAAACGTTCGATCTAAAGTCCCACATTCGAAAGTTTCGAGATGAGTGGAAAACTAGTATTGCCTCCTAAATCTGGCACTTACAAAGGAAAAGGTGTGGTGTTATGACTTATGGCGAAGCATAGATATTGGCGTTTGTGATTCTTGGTTCGTATTCTTGCTATGTTCTTGTGTGAGGTTCATCTAGTGCAGATTGGGCCATAAGATTGTTTGGAGTCCAGAGTAGTTTCCTTTATCTTTTCTTCTTGGGTTGTTTTAATCCTTATTTCGTGTGGTGGGATAATGAGTCGGTATGTTGAGGATGTGCATTTTATGAGCTGATTGATCTGGCAACGTTTCAGCTTTTTGCACATGATCTCACTGGGGAAATTCAAAAATATGAAAAGGAGCTATGATCATGGGCTAAGTTGATGAGCTGCGGGCTGGAAGAGGATATTGTAGGATGTACTGTTGTACGAGAAATGAGGAGCAAGAAGGTAATTTTGTCATTACATGTATTCGAAGTTGATTTTGATTTTCAGAGGCGCACTTTCCGGCAAGCGAAAGATATTGATACCATGTGTCATGGTGGGTTGAGAGAATGTTGAAGCTGTAAAAGTTTGTTGCACTGGTGTATTTTTATTGAAGTAAGGGAAGGTTGTGTGACTTCTCGCAAGCGCGACTTGCCCGGGGAGCATAGAATCTGAGGAAACTGAAGAGAATGAAAGGGAAATGGGGTCTATTGAGAGATTAAATCTTGTAGTTTAGGAGGTAGTAGTTAGTTGATAATGTATGAAGTATACTATTTAGAGCAAATAGCATTTTGCGAGCACTCTTTCTTTTGGTATTATTGAAAAGATCTTTGGAGAAACAAGGTTTATGGAGTTGGGACTAAGTGAGAAGTTGACTGTCCTTTGAGGATTGTGCGACATCGGCAAATTTAGAACTCAGAGTTGGGGACGATGGGTGAATCATTGGTGGCACAAAACTCCACCAAAAATCAATTTTATTTTCTCCTTTCGAATTTTTTCACATTTTACTACCCATCCGAATTCAGGGGTTCCTCCTAATACTGTGTGAATAGCGCCTGAAGCAGGACGTGAATACATAATTTCAATCTGCTGCAGGAATATGAAGAGTTGATCTTTCCACGCAT